GAAAAAAGAGTTTATTTGGGGCTATGGTTTTAAAGGGTGAGTCCATGAGCATCACGACAAAGACCATGACAGCAGGCAGGGATGGCATTGGAGCTGCATCTGTGAGCTCACATCTCATCCACAAGAACCAGGCAGAGAGAACGAACTAACTGGGAATGGCATGAACTCTTAGAATGTTATAGACTGTCCCCAGTGTCACACCTCTTCCAACAAGGCCACACCTCTTAATCCTTCCCAAACATTTCCACTGACTAAAGGCCAAACATTCAAAGCACATGGGAGACATTCTCATGCAGACCAAAGCAACAAATCCTTGGGCATGAATATACTTTCTTGATCCTAAAATCAAAGGATACTATGATTATCACATAAAAGGTCTGCAAAGTTGGTTGTCATTTATAAAGGGAATTTTCACTAAGAAATCAAATGAAGAGAAACCATGTCTATATACTTAAACTCCTCAAATTTGGGGGTTCTACACATGAAAATCCATATCATTTCTTTTATATGTTTTTAGAACTTAAAATTTTGCTCTTCCAATCTGAATCACTTTAATTTTATAAAAAACTCAGTTCACGGTTCTCCCAGCCTAGCCATGCCATGGGCCAGCACTGGTATAAGAAAAGCAGCCAGAAGAGCCTGCTTCCTACTCTTCTCTGCAGAAGCATGGGGAGCTTCAGGGTCACATGGATGCTCTGGGTTGGAAGCATGTGTTTTAGGACAGACTGCACACACATGAGGGTCCCTTATCGTGCTCTGGGCTGGCTCTGCCCTGGCAACACTTGCTGGTGACTACGGCTGTGCAATCAAGTACCAGACTCAGGTCTGAAAATATTTCTTCCAAGATTAGCGGGGAAATGGCAGCACAAAAAAGTAGTTTTGTGTCTTCACAGAAGGAGCGACTCCTCCTTGCGGGCTGTGAAGCAGGAGGAAACATGTCTACTGTGCTCTCATGCATTTTGGTCCTTCTTCACTCCTCTGAAGCAAGGATGCTTGGCAGGTATAATTATATTAAGCTATCTAAGAAAAGGCAATCTAGCCAAACTAAAAAAGAAATGGGACAAGAAATTGCTAATCTATTTCAAATATTTGCAAAGCAGCTGTGCATGCCAGTCTTGGCACAGCGGTTGGAGCAATTAAGAGACAACAAGCAAAACTATCAGTGAAATGGTTTCTGCTGTGAACGGCCATAAAGCTAAGTGAGCACACGTTAAAGGGCTTCCTCTTTAAGAGCAAACACTGCTCCTTTGCCTCCACACACCACATTTCTTTCTCCGTCCCTCCACCAATAGACAGTCAGGCTTTATTCTAAACAGTGCTGTGACGAACATGTCAATGCCAGTAATTGGAGATATTTTAGCAAATATTTTTGATGATATCTAAGAGTAAGATGATTAGAATAATATATGGTAATTTTACTTTCAACTTTTAAAGGAAAAAATCTTTAAAAAAAATATATTGCTAGCCATATACTCTCACTTCTTCCCAAAGACAGCTGACCCTTATATACAGTTCTCTGCCATGAGAGGTAAGTAGCCTGCAGTCTATCAGGAGAGGGGGCTCCACCTGTCAGGGGAACTGACTACCCTGCAGAATCCTTGCGAGGCTTTCCTCTTGAGCTGAATAGGACCACAGGGATGATCCTGCTGCAGAATATAAAAGGCATGTGTCCAGGCAGTGGGCCAAGGCTAATCACTGCGTCCAGCACCTGCACACCCTCAGCTGGGGGGCTCTGTTCTCAAAAAAAAAAAAAAATCCACAGAAGGCCTGTCAGCACCTCGCTGTGTGTCTGGGGACACAACTCTCTAGGAACGTGTCTGAATGCTTCTTCCCACAAGGGAAGGCCTACGTCCCAACATTTACATGGCTCTAAACTGGAGCACAGAGGAATCCTTCAGAACCTAGGCTAGGAGGTGGGCTAAAACTCAAACACCTCCTTGAGCTGAAAGAAGGACCCTTGTGGTACTCACTAAAGAACAGAACCCTTGTTAAAGAAAGGCTCCTTTCGGGCCCGTTTCCTAGGTGTGAGGTCCACGGCCTCAGAAGGACCCCTGCTTCTTGGACCACTTTTCTGCTGTGGACTCAAAATTCTTAGAACATCCTAATAAGGAAGGGGTAGTGTGTTTTTCTTTTGTTTGTTTGTTTTTTAATTCCAAAACTCTTTATCCAGGCTTGCTTACTACTTTCCAGGCAGAACCAGAAATGGAGAACCTGGTCAAGGACCCGGACTACTCCAGGACACTTCGTGTGGAAAGGTAGGAGTTGAATTGTGGAGAAGTAAAGGAAAGAATACAGCTGTATTTTGTAAGAAAACTGAGTACTGTGTACTGAACACAAAGTTTTAATTTCCTTCACCAGTGTGAAGTTTCAGACCCCCAAATACCCACTTTACTTTGCAGTTCCATGGTCATTCTCATTCCTAACAGCCACACACACTTAGAACCAACAGAAGTGGCGCACAGCGCGGAAGGACCGCGTCTTACGGATTTCACTTCTTTCCACACGAAGAAGTCCCCTCCAGACTTGGGTCTGCCTGTCCCTTTATGACCCCATCCCAGCACCGTTCTTCTCCCTCTAACTCACAATTTAAGTATTTCTATTAGTCTCGTAGTGGTCATTTTTATTATCAGAACTTTGTCATCGGAACTGGTTATGTTCTGAAAGGGCCCAGGGTAAACGTGGGCCTCTTGTTATAAACTTACTGAGAATTTGAAGGCAGCGGCAACAAGAGTACTAACCCGAACACGGGTCATTCCAAGAATGGGATCTGCAGAGGCCAAAGGGCAGTGGAGCCCAATTCTCTCTGTCCAGATTCTGAAATATACCCTTTCTTTTTTAAACTAATTGTTTAATTTATTTTACATACTGACCACAGTCTTCCCTCCCTCTTGTTCTCCTGTTCCCTCTCTTCCTCCCTTCTACTCTCCCTCAATTTCCACTCAGGGAAATGGGAGTCAACAAAGCATGGCCTATCAAGTTGAGGCAGGGCCAAGCTCCTCCTCCTACATCAAGGTTGGGTGAGGCGGCCCAGCTTGGGGGATTGGATTCCCAAAAGCCAGTTCAAGTGCCAGGGACAGATCCTGATCCCACTGCTAGGATCCCACGGACCAAACTACACAACTGTCACACACAGGTAGAGGCTTACATTAGTCCCATGCCCTAACTAGCTCTCAGTCCAGCATCTGTAAGCACCCATTAGCTCAGGTCAGTTGTCTCTGTGGGTTCCCTTGATCTTGCCCCCCCCCTTCCTTCCAGTGAGCTCTTCCTATTAGAGAGAGGGAAGATTGTTCATCCTTTGTTTAAGTGATAACTATTAAATGAGTTACCTGGCTTGGCCTGAGACTAAGAACAGCTACCGTGAAGCTAGGGATAAGTTAATCCTCTAGGATTTGCATGCTATTTGTTGGTAAGAATTCATGAAGGAAACCAGGTCGAACAGGTGAGAGGACAGACCCTGAGCTCTTCACTAGAAGCTGACACAAGCTTTGGTTCATTATGGCTTTGAAGACTGTTCCAGAATCTCCTCCTCAGATCTACCTCCTCTAGAGTCTAAGTTTGCAAACTGTAAGACTCTTCTTTGCTGAAGAAAAATGCTGCTCCTTTGCCATGGCCTCTTGGCCTCTAGAGAGCACTGAACTGAAGTTAGACATTTTCTACTCCTTCATCTACTGGAACATAAAACTCTCAAAGCCAGAAACTCTTCTACCTCCTCTTCATCTTCCTTCTCTTCCTCTCCCCCTCCTCTTTCCTGATCTTTCTGACTTGAAAACTGATCAACACATGACAAAATCATTCTTAAATGCTTGTTGAACTTCTAGTGTTATACTCTGAAGATACACAGGAAGAATTTTATATGAATATTCTGTGTGTAGAATGGCAAAAGAATCCTTGGGAAAAGAATACAACACACACAAAGACAGAGCTCACTTTATACTGCCAATATCCTACCCAGGGACTTTGGATAAGACCTGGATGAACAGGAGAGGGCTGTCAGAGATTACCCAAAGAGTCCCTCTGAGTGACCTGCACTGGCATTCACATGACCCTCCTTATCTCCTCTCAAATCAAGAGGCAGGCAAACGAGCATCCCAAAGCTGGTCTTTGGAGACCGCCAACTCCTGGACCTTAGCTTTATCCCAGGAAGTTTTCTCCCTAGTATTTGAATATTTATTTTTCTGTTCTCTGAAGACACTTAAAATCCTTCACTTACTCCACAGTTGTGTGCAGCCAATAAAGCTTAGTGAATGCCGAGAGCCCACAAGTCAGGCACATGTGAGATTTAAGGGGAGGGTTCTTTCCAGTTTGTGTGTGGCATTATCGGTACCAAAAGAATGGTAATGCTACACCTCATCTCCTGGTTGCCACTGCATAAGAGAAGACTGCCTCTAAGACAAAGCAAAGGCTTTTCGCTGGTGTAGAAAACATATTTCTATGGGCAATCCTCAAAGCTCAGGGGTTTCTTGATCATCCTTAGAACCTACCTTTGCCATTCGGCACTTGTCTTTGAGCTGACTTGCATGCTACTCTCTAGTGGGGGACCTTGGTGTCTGTGAACCTAACTGCCTTATGAAAACACCGTCTTACCATGTTTGCCAAAATGGGGCTTTCTTGTAATGAGACCTACTCATTAATTTTTCTTCCTTGTCAAACTTAAAGCCAGGGCATGATTGTCAAATATCAACACATTTAGGAGATGACTTACTCCTAGTTAAAGCCGCGACACAGCTGTAGTTTCTAAATTTAGTTAGCTGCTCCGGGTCTGAGCTTGGCGTTTGAAATGATCTTAAGCATGCAGAAGGTAGGAGAAAACCGAGATTCGAGGTCTAGATTCTGAGTTAGGACACCAGTGGGAGATAAGACTATCCCAGGCAATAAATCAAGACATTCCAATAAAAATATATGTGCAAATGAAAATAATTATGTGTCCCTGTGCTTTTATTCCCAGTATAGTTCCAGTGAACTTGACCCAGTAAGAGAGGAAAAAGAAACTGGAGACATACTTTGGATTTCAGTGATCCTCTGTAAAGAAGCGGCAGCGTTCGCATTCGGCGTCTGGTGGAGGACATCTTCCTCAAGGGGCCCGAGCTGCGGGAACGAGAGGAAGAACACAGGCAGAGCGTGAGGACTTGACAGTGAGCTGCACAGAAGCAAAGCAAGCAAACAGTCTCATCCTCAGAGGCCTGCTCCAACAATTGCTTAACATTTTGCTGACATCGGGTCCCCAAGTGTAGTCAGTCATATTTTGTGTCCATGTAATTAAATTCCAAGGAGCTTTTCTATTGGTCACAAGATTAATGTATGAAGGCCCTGAAGCAGGTGCACATCTGTGAGTTAGTCATTTAAAATCTGAGTTATTTGTGCACCTTTTGTGGGCCTCCCACAAACCGAATTCCATCATGAGGGGATCCACAGCTGGGCCAGTGAACAAACTCAGGGAGGGCATGGGGCAGAGTGGACGGTGTACTGTCTGTGTTTCCTCAGTGTTCTGACATTTAATCGTCTTAAACATTAAACACTTCCTGGTGGAAAGCCATGAGACATTTGTTCTTACTCTTGGAATAGAGCAGAAGAAAAAAATGTATTAAAGAAGCCAGAGGTAAAAAGCACAACACAGCTCCGTTTAACATCTACTTTTTCAAAACTACGATCATGTCAGCCTCAAGCTTGGGATAAATTCCTCCTGTGCAAATCCATCATGATCTTCTGGAATTACACTGATTTTTCATGGAAGAATTCGGCGAGCATTGCAGGAAATGCTGCAGAGATCCCGATAATTATGGATCATCTCTGTAAGGAACAAGTCTGGTGGCACAGACACTAGACACATGGGTGATGGGCGTTCTGCGGGGTACGGTAGTCGCAAAGAAAACAACCATCTAGCTTTGGGAACACAGCAGGCAAGCAAACAATGGTTGGGAGACAATAAACCCTAAACACGCTGTTTTCCTGGAAAACTTCAAGTTAATAACCTCAACTAAGAAGCAGTGGTTGAACAGAGTGGTGTGACCAGAAACTGCTGTCAGCAGGCAGACCAAAGCACACTCTCATCCAGATTTCTTCTGCTGGAGGAAAAACTAAGAAAAAAACCACTCAGGGATTATAAATTTCCACAGCATATGTGAGTGAATCTCACCCTCAGGTCTCTTGGAGTTGATTATTCTGTACTTCAATCACGGGATGGAGAACAATAGCACCTTTCTTCCAGATGCCACAGGCTAGCAGAGTAGCTCGGGGATATTTATACATGAGCAAATTCACTAAATATAACTTTGTAGAGTGTTTTTCTTAGCTGCCAAAGAAAAAGCTTTAAAACATCAAAAGGTCTGTACGCAACACAATTTAGCAAGAGGAGAAACACCACTGAACCCAAATCCATGTCAGTGAAAGGCTGTGGAAGCTTAAACACATAAATTCGGCTAAAATCATTTTTTTTAAAATCAGTACTTCAGATGGTATCTTTACAAATATGTCATCCTGCTCACGACCCTCATCTCAGAGGCAAGACCAAACCATCAGCCGAGGTTTCTTGGGAAATGTTTACTGAAGAGTTAGACAGGGTCAAGCGAGCCACTCTGCTCATACACAAACGTCCCTCCCATTCACGTCTTTTTTAGGACATAGGGAAAAATAATTTTTAGTAGCAATAAAATGTTTTGATACCCCATTTCATATTAGAACGTATGCACAAAATCGGCACAGTCCATTTTCTTCAAAAACCTTCCTTGAGACTTCAGATAAAAAAAAAATGCTGACAAACTTAATGGTGTTGGATACTGGAGGGAAAACGAGAGATAAATCACACATGCAAAAGTTCCAATTTTGCAACTGGAGCTCACTGAGGTCTGTGGGCTTGTTTTTAAGTCCCGGGTAATATAGAAAGTATATGTGGTTCAGCGTGTTGAGTATGAAAACACAAACACTTCTAAACCCACAATTTAGAGTTTTCAGTAGGATGGATAAAGTTGTGCCTACTTATAAAAGCAACTCCGAGAATTAAGGAAATTAAATTGATCATTTAAGCCTCTCAAACCATTTCCTTGAATGTCATTTGAGGGTTTAACCTTCTGTAAATTGCCCCAATTTGTTTCATTTTGAGTGTGTACACACAGACAGGGCTGGATTCAGAGCGTTCTCAATGTGGGCTCTTTATATTTCATCAGGCAGCGGCGCAGAGAAGGCTGTGGGCAGCAGTCTCTCCGCTGGCAAGGATGCAAACAGCGTTTACAGGCTGTTTTCCTAAAATTAAAGACTTGTACACAGAAACCATAGAATTCAGGTGTGTTTTCTATCTTTCTTTTTTTTTTGTTTTGTGTTTTCTTTAGAGAATTTGTTGACTTAATCACTCAAAATTATGGGCAATAAAACCATCTGATTGATGCATCCAGTTGATAAATATTTATGAGTATTGGTCATTATTAGTAATCTAATAACTAAGTAATGAAATAATACTAAGCAAATAGCCGTTCTCAATAAATTTGGAGCAAACATGATATTATATGGTAAAGCTATGATAGGTGTTTAGTTTGGCCAATAAGATGTAGTAAAACATTGGCTATTGAAACCAATCAGAATCACTAAGTGGTCTAAGCAAACAGGCCAGTGAGATAAGGTAGATCTAGAAGTTAGAGGTCGTACAGGCCCATCATGGTGTCTGCCAAGCAACTCTATTAAATAAAGATAATTTTCATGAAGTTATTAAGATAAATCATACAATTTAAATACAACCCATAGACACACACAGCTAGTGGATGATCATTCTTCTCTACATGTAAAATACAGTCACAACCATTCTCTACGTAGATTTAAGCTCTGCGATAGAGAAACCTATTCTCTATATCTGTTACATAAAATTGAGCTGTTGTATGGGCAGAATCCAAATGTTTGCTCTGTCTCACCTGTCATGACTTCCAAGGTCTGCAGATGTTGGAAAACACCAGCTATAGTCAATTAACTTGTGGAAGAGGAGCCTTAGGGGCTGCGAATTAGAGAGGGGGTGGGGAGTTTGAGGGAACATGGGAAGGTTAGAGAGAGGATGAGCGGAAGGATGAAATTATATCTTAATTAAAAACAAATTAATAAAAAAGAAAATTTGAAATATTTTAAAAGTAATAGCATGAATAAAGATAGAAGGAGATATCTGTGGACACTTATTAATGTATCCAGAAGTACTTAAAGCTCTAATGCTCAGGTTAGACTCGAGTTATTCTGGGTGTTTAGTATATTTTATGATATGGTTATAAATTATTTATGTGTTTATTATCAATTAATTGACTGTTTTTTTTTAAACACAGTCTCAATAAAACTCAGACTGACAATGGATTCATGATCCTTCTACATTCGCCTCCCAGCGATTGGCAGTATAGGCACATGCCACCACACTCAGACGGAAATTTGATTTAAAAAGCTTTGGAGGAAGTTTTAACTTTCTGAGACTTCTAAAGATCATTCAGAAGTCACATAATACAGAAGAACTCGTCCAGGTTTTCCTCATGTTCATGTAGCTATGTAACATCTGCATATACTTCAACTTTATTCCCTATGCTATTCTTGATATAAAGACATATCGTTGGCTTTCACCAACTTTTCCAAAGAATTTTAAATTTCCACAAATGTTAGTTGAATTTAGTTGAGTTGGCCGTTAATCTTGTTAAACTTAAGTACTAAACATGCTTTAATGAAAATAGTGGATTCACTGCACACCCAGTCATGTGTGATTGGGAAGATGCTCCGCATCATCTTCAGCCTGCAGAGCCTTCTTCCTGCCTAATTCCGAAGCTGGGCTGCTGAGAGGAAGAGTGAGCAGCCCGGACACTCTTTACGTCAGAGAAAGGAAATTATAGTCCACCACTGGGAGAGAACTTGAAAAAAGTCCATGCCTACTAAATAGAGTATAATTGTGAATGAAGTGTAGTAGTCTCCTAAAAATTCTCTTTCATGAAATATAAAACCATAAAGTGTGAAAAATGAATGCGCTATAGCTGTGTACAATGACAGAGAAGACTCTCACAAACAAAATAGTCAGAAAAAAGACATATACAAAATATTATATATGTGAATATATAATATTGCATCTTTATAAAGTTTACAAGTGGGAAAATTGGAACAAGGTGTCGGAAATCAGAAAACCATTGCTTTCAGAAAGGAGCCAAGCAGTAACTTAGATCCTCTTGACGCGACTCAAGGTTAGACATATGAAGTCCTTGTGATTTGTGATGCCTATTGGATTGTGCGTATTTGTGCAGATTTCTGCATGAGTGTTAGAGTTAGACCTAAAAACAACTTTGGAAACACTGACATTTCCTTCATGTACTTAACAATGGGAAAGGTCCCTGACTCAGGCAAGCAGGGACACAGACTGGGTCTTCAGACCATGCGTGTTCCATGCGTGGTGATGCCCGAGAAATCAAGGGAGAGCTCCTTGCTGCAACAACGCTAAGTTCTTAGACACGGACCAAAGTTCACTGGCAGAGAAAGCCGAAAGTCTGACTACGACATTCAGACAACTCAGATGCGGTCCAAAAAGTGTTCAGCTGTAAGGATCAAAGGGATTATGGAAGAATACGATGGCCAAGACCAGGAGGATAAAGAGACGAGGGTACTCACGTGACCTTCTGTGTTGATGAACTATTTATTATCAATTCCCCTGTGAGAAGGGATTGATACTTAAAACCCTACTCTCATCTAAATAATTGCTCAGGAATGCCTGCAATTAGTTGTATATGTTTAATTTGATTGCATAAGCAAGTCTGGTTATAATTTTATCCATACTGTGAATCATGAGTCAGTCATTCTTAAAACAGCCATTGTTGTTGGTTTGAAGCCACTAATGTTCTTCAGTGAACAGACTCGGAGGGGCTGAAATCAGAGCGGATTGGGTTGACTAATATGTCACTAGGCTGAGGTTATGGCTGTTAACGCTCGTCTCCCACCTCATGTGGAGGATGAAGGACGATGTCAACACGGCCCTAAAGAAGCATCTCTGAACAGCAGCAGGTCCGACTTGTCTTGTAGGAGGATTGGAAGACAAGGGAGAAGTTGTGTTCATCAGTTCTTGATACCAGGAATATTCTTCCCCATGACAGGAA